ATTGTGTAGTGTGCTGTATACGCGTATTGACCGACTAGTTTTTGATTTTAAAATTGCAAATTGTTGCGTTTTAAAAACGGATATGCAATGTTTTACCCTTACCTATTATATTAAACTCCATCCCATTTAAATTTCAAACTGTTATAAATCTTATAAATACCGTATCAAAATATTCCATGTTTCGAATCCGTGTTGAAAAGGGGGCAAATTTTATTACTCAAAATCGAATACTAATACTCAATACACCCATTTAAGGTTCAAATGGTAGGATTTTTTTTTCGGATAGCTGCGAAAGAAAACAAAATTTGATAATAATAAAAAAAAAAACACCGTCCGATAACGTGGATGGGTGTTATGGGTTTATGGTAGGCAGTTTAAAAGATAGGACACAGAGTTATTTGATTGATATATGCACGCAATGATACTCGTTGCAATTGTGAATGAATTTCGGTTAAACATGTTTTTAGATGCCACAATTTTTAAGACTTGAACTTAAATCGCGTATAAAAAAAATACTACAATGATTGACTTTTTTTTGGTTGCTATAAGTACAACTTTTAATGAACTTCATGTTAAATGTTCAACCATTTCTGTTTTGTTAAACAATTTTATCCACTTAGGAACTACCAAAAAAAAAACAACTTGAAAATGTAAAATGTCTATCAATATTCTTAAAATTGAAAAATGTTTTGAAAATTAAACCATATCTTAAAAAGGGAAATATATTATTGTTCTATGAAAATATTAGGTTTTTTATATTTTAAACTGATTAAAAACATAAAAAAAAAACATATTCTATGAAAATGTTGTGTCTTTACGATTATTTTAAATCAAATTAGAACAAAAAAAACCGTTATCGAGACTAATGATTCCATTATTTCATAAACTTTCACGTTTTTCATAAGTTTTTCCCAGGTGTTCTCATTTATTAAGAAATCTATAACGGCAAATCAAAAAACGACTATCCTATCCATCGACAAGACAACATTTTCTTTCAGAAAAAAGCCTAACCTTTATCATAGTAAAATCAATACAACCCTTGCTGCACTAAAAATCTAAACAAGTTCTTATTTGGTAATTATAAATAAAAATGTGTGTTATATTTTGCACCACGGCTGTGCTGAAATCAATGGTTCTGAATGGTATTAAATATACATTGTAATACGAGTTTATTGAATATTCTATTACAACATATTGTATTGATGAGAATAGTATACAATTTCTAGAAGATAATTTTGTTTTAGTATAAAGGATAGCGACACTGCCAATGCCGTTTCCAAATCGAAAAACATATTCAATTCGTATTAGCAATCTAAAAAAGCATTTTGAAATCAATTTTTACGTTTTTGTGTCTCAGATATCTTCTGATAAAGTTATTCTTTAAATTGCAATTGAATCAAATTATATTAGTTTTGATAATTATATTGTATACTTAAAGTATTAACGTGTAAAAAAGTATTAAATGTATTAAAACATTTATTAAAGTATTAAGTTTTATTCATGATTTCAAACATCAACAATTGAAAAATGTTTTCTTTTTTTTTTAAATAGTAAGCACTCCTAATTATACATCCTTTAATTGAGTTATACAAAATTTGGGAGTTAGTTTGAGTAAAAGTGACTCGAAAAACCTTATTTTTAACTTTTCAATTTTTTTTTAACAAAGCCCAGCTTTGAATTTTAAATTACCTACCTATACGTTATTCAGATTCTGGGAGAAATTAGAAACATATTGGTTTATCAGTCATCGGTGTGCATATAAAAAGATTAAGTTGTGATAAACATACAACAAATGTATAATGTGCGATTAATAAAATATGATAATAATGAATTATAAGTGATTATTTAGTTAAAAAAAATTTGTTTTAACTGCAGTTATTTTTTTCACGCAATTTCTTTTCTCAAAACAGTGCAGTCAAATTATTAGGAATAATTGTTATGTGAAAATATGAAATTGAAAATTTCAGCATCGTACGATTTTTTGTAGCCATATACGATTTTCGAATATAAAACGAAATAAAAACTAATAAAAGATAATAATAAAAGAACTAATAAAAGAACTAGGTAATTTTAAACTCTAAAATGTTTTTAAAATTATTCTACATCTAGAAAAAGCTGATTCGTATATGCTTAAGTATCTGCGGAAAAATTCAGGTTTCCACAATTGTTATTCACTCAATTATAACTAAAATTAAACTATATGCAAATAATATTCCCGTTCACCATTGTTTTCGCCAGTTTTCCTCCATTATTTAGAGGGAAAACAAGTAAAACTAAAAAATATCAACCCCCTGCAATGCAATAACAAGACAAAATTTTCTACCAGAAACTACCCTTGATCTTTATGATTGGATTCAGATATTTAGTAGAAAAGTTATTTTTAGACAGAAAAAAATAACAAAGTATTTTATATGCTTAAAACAAATACATTTCTCGTTTTACTCAGAAAAAAATCCACTTCTTACACATAGGCTTAAAAAAAATTAATTTATGAACCGTTATTTCGTTGAAAAAAAACCTATAGATATATCATAGAATTTTTTTTTTATGACTTTCATGCAAACCTAATAACCGCTAATTTATTCATTTATTTTGTCAAACTGAGCAACGGGATTAATTTTGTAAGTATATAGTAGTAGTTATATTATGATTTCGGACAGTTTTTGTTTTGTGGCCTGACCAACATCGTTATATAATACTACGGTAAATCAATATATTTTGTACCTATGTATTAACTTCATATTTGATTCATTTAATATTTTTATAAAAGCCAAAAGCGTATTAAAAAAAAAAAACTTATTCACACTGTTGTGTATTTTTTTTTTTAATACTGCAAGGATATAATATTATAGATGTTGAATTTGTCACTCGAATGAAGACTTATTTAAAAAAAACTAGTAATAATAATATACTAAAATATAATACTGCCTGACAAAATGCGTATTTTTGAGCAATGAGAAGTTTTATTGTTATTAATTTTTGTTTAACGTAGGTAGTAAAAAAATAAATAAAAAGTAATATAATCCATAAAAAACCCTTTACCTATACAAGTTCCCGGCACAAAATATACATAAAATGTTGTATTATGAATTTTACGAATTATATTTTTTTTTCGTGCAGAAATGGAAATAATCATTTATTTATTGAAATATTACATCTTATTATATTAAATATAATATAATTGATTGGCTCAGTTTAATTAATCAAAATCTTGAAAACTCCCAAAAATATCAATAAAAGAAAAACGGATAAGAGTTAAAAGTTTTAAGTTGTTTAATGCATGTTTTATAGTGTAACGATTAGGCGATATATAATTTTGAGGAAAAAATGTAATGTTAAGTGACATGAGCGCCACAACTATAAATTCTGAGTTATATTTTTTGAGGTCCCAAATTCGTGTTTCTGACTTGAAATTTGTACTACAGTTTTACCATAAAAGTTAAGATACGTTTGTGCATTAAAACTTTCGTGGAATAGTTTGCAATCTGATAAGTACCTATAATATAATTAATGAAGGTATTATATTTATCCACTATAATTATGCCACTAATTAACACTAATCACACTTAGAATACATTTTATTTTAAATATTAAAAACACCTACGAAAAATCTAATATAATCGGGGCACGGAAGTTAAATAAATATTTTAAAAAGACAATTTTAAATTTTAACTTTCAGTTTTTGACGCTCTTTGGGGCCAGTGATCTATACGGGTTGTATATCTTACGCACCCAATTGTAACACTAAGCAATGTATACAATTTCAGTGAATTGTATTACAAAATATTAAATCTATTTTTACGAACCTATTTTGTGAAGTTATTTAACTACATAATACTTATACACTTATATTCAAACACTTTATAATAATCGTTATTACTTTTAATTATTGTTTTCTTACTGTGATATTATTATCTGATTTAAATGGTAAAAAATATGTACTCTTACGGTTTATTATTTATTTTTTTGTCATAGTTTATCTATATGACGTAAACTTATGTGCCTAAGTCATGTATACCAAAATACTTCTGAAAAACAATTTAACTAGGAATGATTTACAACTAGGTGTAGTCATTATTCATATTTACGTCGTTGTTGTCGCAGAATAAGGAAATGGGACACTTTGCGGAGTTATCCCACGACTTGTTATAAGTGAATTCATCTAACGAGTTTTTGACAAAAACAATAAAAAAACAAACGAAAATACAATACAATTTATGTATAAGTACATATAATGTATAATAATAAAAAATAGTTTTATACTCTGTCGAATAAAATAAAATACTGTAACGCTGCGGGATATCTTGCACGGGAAATAATACAATATTATAATATATATGTTGCAGGCAATGTGGAATACCGGTCAATGTGTACATTGCCCTGGCAATGTGAACCAAGAATTTTTTTTTTTAAACTATACTATTTTTGAAACATGTATAAACTTATTTTTGATATCGTACAATTGTTATCGGACAATATTATGAAAATATTACGAACATTTTGATGAAACAACAAAAAAAATTTACCAATATTATTATTTTATTTTTATTGTAAATTATAATTTTATTATTACCTATTTATTTGCACAAGACTTAGAAGCATGACACTTGGAATTACATAGTTTATCTGCTTCTCTACACTTGCATTTATTTGTTTTGCCACCCTGTGTACAAATACACCAATCATATCTCCTGTTCTCTTAAATTAGAAAAGTAGTGGGCTGCTTCTTCGCAATAAAATTGAATTACTCGGTATGTCTTTGATCTGTACACAATTTTCTTTATAAATCGTAAATTGGTTTCCGCTGTATAGTTGTTGCCGTATTCCTTCATTAGTATCGATTTCGTAAAAGTTATATTTCATTGAAATATAGATAGTTTAAAATTTTAATAGACAGATTATTATTATTATTAATATATAATTTAATATTATTATTACCTGATATAATCACGCCAAGAACACATCTGAGGTTACTCCGTGCTCTATCTACATCATGAATTTTAATTCTGACTTCCCAATATTTCCTTGGAAAAATCGTTTTTTGGACATTTCCGTGGCTTTTTTGTGGCTTTAATTTTCAGATTGCTTAATGGCTCTTTCCTGTTTTGATTAATTGACGTTTGTCTTGTTTTTGTTTCTTTTTCAAATATTTGATCTTCATCATCTTCTTTTTCTACTTCACGAATTACTTCATTATTTTTGTTGTTGTTAGAAAGGACCTGTATTGACTCTAAGGCAATCTGTAATTTTTTTTTAGGTTTTTAATTTTGTTTTAATTTTAATTTAATCATGTTTGCAAAAAGTAATGAAGATGGTAAAAGATGTTTAGAGAGTGTACCAAACATCGTTTCAAATGGTTAATGTTTTGTACCATGGTGATAAGCACAATTTTTCATTAACTGTACGAATCTTAAGCCATTGCTCCATTTTTTTGTTTCATTTTATTGTAGCCATGTTGCAAGCATATTTTGGACATATTGGTTTGCTTTTTCAATAATATCTTGGCTTTGAGAGTGTCTTGGCTTACCGTGAACTATTTTCAAATCCTTCTACTTAGTATAAAGTTCAGATACTATTTTATTTACGAATTCACGTCCGTTGTCACTTTGTAATATAGCGAATGCTCCAAAAAGGTTAAATATATTCACTAAATCTTTAGCAACTGCTTTGTCACTTTTATGTCTTTGAGGCCTAAGTATGACAAATTTTGTCAAATGATCTTAGTTAACACATTTTAATTTGTAATCTCCATCTGGTTGCGCTTGCATATCAATAAGGTCGATTTTACACCTCGAATTCATTTCCAAAGAAATAATTGGTTCAACCACTAATCCTTTTTTCACTGTACTTTCTTTTCTCACACATGTAAATGTAAATTACATTATTGTTTTCCTAGTCATATTTTATATTTTTATTTATTTCGTATTCCATGCAATTTCTACCACCATGCTCAATAGTTAAATGTCTTTCACATAAAATGTTAAATAACTCTTCATTATAAGCAAATAATTGTACACAATTACCTTTTTTTATTGGCGTAATTCATGTTTCGTCTCCCAGTACTGTCATAACGTCATATTTCTTCATTAATTTTGAATTATTTTCTTCTCTAGCTTTAGTTGTTTTAAACTATTAATTATTTCATAATATTTAGATTTACTAATAAAGTACTATTAGGTTTTTGTTTCGATAACTTTGTTAAAATGTTCGTAGAATTTAGATTCCATTTTTAAAACACGTACAAAGTAACGAAGTATAGTGTCTTGTACAGTACAAAAACTCGACTAGCTTAGGTCAGGTAGGATAGTCGAAAATATCAATTATTGTTCATATATTGTTAACTGATTTTATTAAGACAGCTATTACTTTTATCATTTTGATATGGTCATATCTATATGGAAAAATTGTAATTCTTAAATAGGCAGTATGACAATAAAAATGAGTTTATACAACGGGTTTCAAAAATTGTATAATTTATTATACACTGTCATTATTATAATAATTGTTTTAAAAAATTCATAATATGATAAAATTTAATAAAACTTTGTTCACATTGCCCAGGCAATGTACACATTGGCCGGTATTCTCTATTGTTCGTAATATTTATACCTATAACACGGTTGTGTAGAAATGTCTGCACCGGTGTTATAGTAATATGCAGATTGGATTTCCAGACTGTCGGAATAATATGTAAATTTATACGATGTCGTGTTAAAGGGTACGTAGTTATACAATCTTAAGTATAAGCTGCTGCAGAAGAACAGAACACATCACTGACCGTGATTAAACGGTTCCTTACGTACCTACGTTCAAACGAAGCTTTATGTACTCTTTTAATAATTCGGCTTACACACGAGTCAAAAAAGTGCAGTTTAAACATAGTACACGAATCCTTTGCCTCAGTAGTTTTATCACTTTAATTATAGCGTGTCGTTTTAATGGTTATACTTATTCAATGTTGCACCGTTCCAATTTAATTCCTCATTTTTTTTCGCCCATTTAATAACAGAATTTTTAAAAACCGATATCAGTATTTAAAAGAAATTTAACTAAATGTAATTTAACTAAACTACCTGTCTTTTCACGTCTTCCATTTTATTTTACCAGTGTAAAACCACGGATATAATACGTGTTTTAATTTATATTATCATTCAAGTCAACAAAAATATTTTAATTTTCGTTATAAAAATATCAATAGCTTTGTGTCAGCCAACCTTTGTTCCGGCTTCTATGTGCACATGGACCCTCTTTCATCCACTTCTGTATGTATATTACAGAACTAATCTACGTACGATTTATTTAACTGTGGATCACGTACCGACAAACATTTAGTTTTATTATTATAAATTTCATTAATTCACGAAAATTTAAGTATAAAACTACGAACCACAGTTACAAATTGAACACTCGTGGCAAAAACTAAAGAAAATTATCTGAACGGTCGTGTCGAAGAAAGCAGAAAATGGAAAAGACTACTTTAGCAGATTACCTCCCAAATTCAATATTGTTACGCAATATGTTAGGTTAGGTTAGACCCATAGATGTTTTTTTGGATACACGTTTTAATATTATAAGATCTAATTTATTTATTCAATATAATTTCAAATAAATAAAGCAGACTATCTCGTTCACTAGTTTCGTTAGTAATTGCGTACCTACCAAATAATAATTGTTATTTAAGAACACGTGTTTTGAAGAGTTTACTGTTTTTCAAAGAAGAAGGAAAAAGAAGTCATGGTTATGGTTTTTATATTTTCGTCATCCTATTGACAAATGTAAATTTCAAAATATATTTGTTATCTCAGAAACTGTTGAAAAGTTATAAACTGATGAAATTTTAATCGAATTTACGTACAGATACCTACTCTCGCATCCGACAAGTTTTAATGGCAATTATTATTCTTAGTCTACAATATTTTATTTGTGTAAAAGAAAAAAAAACACATAAATCAACGGACCGATAGTATCTTCAACGATGTGAGTTCTGGACGCGTCTTATTTAAATAGATCGACGGAACCGAACACAAAGGGCTTCGCTCTGTGCAGTACATCAAAGAAAATAATTTATCAGGTTTCGATTTTGGGAGTAAATTTATTTTCTCATTTTTCATTTTTATTAGCTGTATATCATGAGAATAATATAACTGATGAAAATAATAATAATTATTATTTTATGTGCTGACAAATAATAATAGTTATTACTATAGAAAAATTTACGTAATAATCTGCAGAGGGGGGAGGTCACCAAATCATTGTCGTTGTCAGATGAACAGCAAAATAACCGATTTTACGGTTTGTGGTTTCCGTGGTAACGACGAATGGTTGTTAATATATAGGTAGGTACGCGTATACATAGGGTAGTCGTTAATCTTATTATTTGTCTGTTATGATAAAAATTTTGTCGAAAATATAAAATCCTACGTCGAAGTTAAACCCAAGAGTTTTATTGTTATACGAGCTTTAAAGTGTACCAACATTCGTATTTCCTAAAGGTAAAGGTGAACGTGCGTGTGCTCCGAGAAAATCGAGGAGAAAACCTTTTAACGTGGGCGTCTCGATGACTGTCTAACCGTGAACCGTAGTAAAAACCCAAACAAAACACAAAACTAAAAGTAAAAATAATAGTAACCATTTAAGTCCATAATATTCAGGAAATAATCGTTCATCCAATTATGATTGGAAAATTATTTATACATTTGTGTACGTGATGAAAATCAATTATTTTAATATCTAGTATTAAACTAAATAGTTATTGTGTATTACTGTGGTATTAGTCGACAGGAAATAAAACCGTCAATTGTAAATGTATAAATCCTGTCGATATTAAAAATTATTTAAAATACCATAGATACCCGTATTAAATAAAGATAGCCAAATTTCAATTTTCCGATTTTTCAATCCCACCAAAATCCCACTCATCAAAAATAAAATTTGACAACGAATCTGCGTCGATATTCAATATTGCCAAATTATTGAACTTTTTAGCACCCATAGTACCTACCCATGGTATTTTCTTGTCATTATTCTACTATAAATTACATTACTAAATATATTATTCCAAAGTAGGACCAATCAAACCCGCATACTGAACGCGTCTTTTTTGTTATGTGCGTACTGACCGTACAATACCTGTATGTGTATATTAAATAGCTGTTCAATTTTAAGCGAATGGACAAGATCGTTTAATTTGCAATTCTATTAACAATTTAATTTGTAAATAAATAATTTTTCTACTTAAAAAAGACAGTACAATTTCATTTGATCAAATTAAAAATAGATTTGTGATTTTATAAAAGAAAAAGATAAAATATACCACTCTAAAATTTCGCCGCTCTTGACCTGGGCCTATACCTAAATACACCCCTGAAGATAGCTAATTGAAAGAATGCAGAGAAATAGAGTCCCGTTTGTTTTATGGAATTTTAATTGAAGGGCTCTTATAATAGTGTTATAGTAGAAGACTTTATGTTGAAATATTAAAATCGGTAAAATCTCAGCTGAATCCACTGTATAAATGTAATTACGAAATTAAATTATCAAATAGTGATTCTATCTCGACTCGTAAGAGCCTCTCAAATCAAAATAGAATTTCCACTCCTTGTGTAACCTAGCAGACTTTCCGTTCAGCTATTTTCAAAGGCTTTTCGTTAGTTGTTTGTCACTGCTATTAAGGTACCTATATTTTTGTTGACGATGGGTTCTGTAAAGATGTATAAAGAAAAAATAACAAAGTACACTTTATAAGTGAAAAAATAAAATAATAACAAAAAAATAAATACTAAAAACGTTTCAAAACATTTTTCAGAACTCTTGTTTTAATACATACATCTCGCGAATCAAGATCAAATCATATACTTAAAAAAATAGGTACATTATTCATAGCTTCTTTTTATTGCTGTCTATAATTTATATATATTTGTATTAAAGTTTTATACCATTCACCTACGTGTATTAAAGGTTTCGGTAATTTGTTTTAAATATTTTTACGTGTCGGTGGCGGTTTTTGTGTATTTGGATAAATGATTACTGTTTATTTAAATAAATATTGTATTTTTGTAGGAAAACGTATTGAATTAAATTCATGCGAAATTAGTGAGCCATTCAAATTATTCTGATTACGGCCCGGAATTATTTCTGATGTATTTTCATTTTTAATTGAGCGAAGGGAGAAATATATTATATTTATACTATGATATATGATTTTGTGTTGCTACTAACCACTTTTCGACCAGATTTTCGATTCCCTTAGTTGTATTATGAAAGGTGGTTTCTTGTACCTACATATTTTGACTGTTTGATCTATTGAAGAGGTCATCTATTAATTTTCTTTGCATTTTTTTATTATTTTTTTTTTTTATAAATCGGTTCAAAATATCCATAGCCACCTAAAATTTTCACCGAATACATTGAATAGCTCCTTCACGAAGTGGTACAATTTTAGATATAATTTGATGATTTTTGAGTGATTACAAACCAATTTAAAATTATTGAGGTCATTAATAGGTTTTATTTGAATTTATAGCCGGTAAAATTAGAATGAACTCTAAAAAATGCTTGAAAACTTGTTAGAAGATGTTTCTTATGTAAACATAAAAATATCGAAAATCTATAGTCATTTCTTTTTGTAAAGCGTGTACACTTCCCTGAGTAACTACAAAACAGACTTCCGAAAACTTTCGCCAATCAACTATGACTAATCAAATGGCCAATGTGGTCAAAATTACTTAAAACTAAAAGACTAAATTTATCGAGCATAGTTCAGTTTATGAGAGTTTTAACTCTTGTGCGTTGTGGTGTTCTAACACAAACGATTTATATTTAAAATTCTACTGTTTTAAACAAAAAGACTATGGGTTGCGGATCAATCAAGTATATAATTGAATAATGTGTCAATCTTTCGGATAATACAAAAGTATACTAGGTAACCTCCTATAAATCGTATAAAATATAAAACACGCAAATATTAATAAAACACAAACAACGAGTCTTTTACAGAATACCACACAATAATTAGTTTATTAGATTCGCACCGAAATCATTCTCAAAACTTCTCAAACATCTTCCAAGGTCTTCCAAACTTGAAACCCCAGAGACGAATAATAGTTTTCGAATACAATTTGTATTCATCGTTAGTTAATAATGTAAGAAAATTTAGACCTGATATTGGCGCTCTGTTATAGTTGCGTCCAACGATCATATTTTATGATTTGGTAATTTTAACTCAATACAATAACTACTTATAATATCTCCCGGCTATATTGTATGCGTATTAAGTTCAAATTTTCACGAGAATCGTAAAAATCACGACACTTTGAGTATTGTTTTCCAAATTAAGTGATTAATAACACTTTTTTGGATCAATAAAAATGTTCAAATGTCTAAGACCAAAACACACGGACAATTGTAATTATTTTGTGTAGTTACAAATTAATACAATTTACAATTTAATTTTATTAAAACACATTAAACCAAACTTGACTCGGAATCGTTTTTAGTTGACGATGATTTATTATTGCGTACAGATATAAATTGAATTACCCTATAGCCTACCTTTCCAACTTACCACAGACTACAATGACCAGGTTGCGAAGTATAATAAGTCCGTCATTTGTTTATCCATTCTTACACACCTACTATACACTGGTCACACGTTTACTCACCAGAACGGATATCCGGTACGACACTACAGGTCGTGTGCGACTAATATTTCACATTGTCACACTACGCGATGTAAGACGAAAACAAATGATATCTTACCGGCTAATGGATTATGCGTCTAATTGGCTTTGGCCGTATAAACGTCTCGCACATTGCGTCGTCACATTTTTAAAATGAACATTTTCAGTTTTATCCGACATAATATAGTTATAAGTTCACGTAGTCGTTTGTTTTATATAATTCATTTTTTTATGTTATTTTTTTTTGTAAAAAATTAATAAGACAAATCTCAACATCCATAGTCCCATGTTAGTTTTATTTATTAATATTTCTGTTTAAAATTTAAGTTGTATACAAATTTTAATAGATGGAGTCTCGTGTATTTTAATTTAATAAAAACTGCTTAATGTCTATAAGGGAAGTAAAAATACATTTTGAGGACACTAGCAATAATATTTGATATACGTATACAAGTATTAACTTAATTTGATGCTGGTTGGTTTTTAAATTGTACAGGAAAACTGTTGGGATCTAAAAAATTTTTTTTCAAATAAAGTATTAACGAGCTAAAACTACGCTTCATTAAAGATAAGATGCGAATAATATTTGGTGCCTTTTCTTAATAACCGTAATAGTGTTTCTCGATAAAACCCCCCAAAAAGGACCTAGAAGGTGAATTGTTGAAAATTTCGATAAATTTATTGATCAAAGTAAAATCAGTTGAACAATCCTCATTTTTGAAAGTCTGAAGTAGAGAAAATCGAAGTATTTATTAATTTAAAAAATGTTTTCCGAGCAAAAATAATACAAACATCATACTAAAACTAATAGTTTCTTCGTTACACTCATAATATACAACTAAATATATGCCCAAAACAAATAGTACCTATGTATCAATTTATGTACTCAAAACATTGTTGTCTCTATATTAAAAATATACGATATAGCAAATTTGAGTTCAGCAAAAACAATTGCGTACTGTTGGTTTTAATATTAGAAATTAATTGACCGATTATCAAACGTAAAGGGAAGAACTTTATCTACAGTTTTGCACATTAATTTTTTTCATCATATTAATTTTTAAACAACTTATGAGCGTGTGAAAGATTACAACTTAAAACAGACTATAACTTGAAACATTACAATTTAAAGATTCTTATAATTCGCTTTAAAATCTGATATTTTTATTTAATAAATAAGGCATATTATAGGTGTGACCAACTCAAATTTGTTATGCCATGCGTTTCGTAAGACGACACAATGCATAACGTAAAGCGTTCTTCTAAACAGATATCTATAAGTTCATAAATTGTTATCAAAATAAATTCGATGTTCTCGAAATTAATCCGCTATTTTATTAACTAAAACTATGTGGTTCGTAGGTTTTTTTAGAGTTTGTTGGCAATCGCGTACATTATTTTTATTTTTAATTATAATTAAGTAAACTGCAGCTAAGAAAATAATGGTTGGTTTATATAATATGTACATCACATACATAATGAGACGCTCTTGGAGTTATGTAGAATTAAATACAAACACATGATTTAACTTCCCACAAACTACTCCTTATAATGAGATTTGCTTACGTTTCGGAATTTAACGAACCTATTTTAAGTTAAAATTTGCGTTGTTAAATAACTAAAAAGATTAAGAGAATATTGTCGACACGCGTATATTAAATGCATATATAAAATAACAAGTTTAAATAATTTCGGCTAGCAATTTACTTGTTAAAACTTTTGGCGAAGATTATCATAACTTACTGGGCTATAAAATATTCATCGTGTTCTTTCCATACATAATAATATAGTCAAAAAATTATTACTAGGTACTAAACCATATGTTAAACTTTATTGTATGCCTGTATGTTATTAGTTATGTACCCATACAAAAAAAAAAAACCTAATATTAATATTGTAATATATTTTCCAATTAAGATGCATAGAATATTATATAGAATCAAAAAAAAAAAACAAATAGTAAAGTTCCTAGTGGCCGAATTGAATATATTTCACTCAAATGGTAACATGAAATATTTTTGCTCAGTGATTTCAGATTGAAATGGGGTTTTTAAGAAAAGATAGGAAATACTGAAATACACATTTTGCATGGATTTTCAAGTTTCTTAACCTTTCAGAGTACGTACGAACAATAAAACTTGCATTTTTTTTTTAAATTGAAACACCTATTTCTAACACTTGATTTGGATAAATCATTTTTTTTTTTAAGCAGGTTGTATGAATAAACTTTTCTCTTATCTCGAAAATTGGCCGAAATACAGCTTATTTAAGGATGAAAAAAAAATATTTTATTATTATTATATTATTTTTATTTCAAACAATTTATTTCAAAAAATACTCACTATTCATTACTATCTTATAAATTGTTCAAAGTTTTGTCCATTATGTTGTAAACATGTTTCTAAACACCGTATGACTTAATTTTGAGTAGCTACCATAATTTGTTTGTTAGTTGTGAGCATACTTCATTGATATTTTTTTTAAATGCTGGAGACTAATCGGTGGATCAGCATAAACTACAGTTTTTATATGTCCTCAAAGAAAAAAAATCCAGAGGCATCAAATCAGGTGAACGCACCTACACAAGTTATAATTAAGTGTGGATTTCGAATTAGTTTAGAAATTAGATGCCTCTTGCGGACGAACGGACTCGAAAATGTAAGACTACGTTAAACCCCGCGTTACGGAATCCTAAATACAAAAAATGCGTATCCATTTATTAGAATGCCAAAAATCTAAATATTACTTTAAAATATAAAATGCCAATCACAAGCACTATTCAAAAACCACGCTCCTTATACCAAAAACTTAAAAGTAAATATCTCGTGAACGGGTTGACGGAAATCAAAAATTTTAACATCAAAATGTATTTAAACCAATACTCTATACATGGAACTTTTTAATATAGCCAACTATTTGAAAATTTAAAGTTGATTGTTGTTTCACCCCGAAAAATAAGAGTGTCAAAATATAACGGCGATGTAACATGTTTATCTTCTTGTTTCTTAATTTGTCAATTTTTTTTTTTTGAAACCTCTATACTTTGATAAATAATGATTTTTTAACAATACAAGAATCACTCTATATATAATAGGTATATGCAGTTCGTATAAACATTGATAGAAAAAAATCGAATTTGGATAGTTCGATAAAGTGATATTTTACTAGGTTTAGGTATCCTGCTGTAATATTATGAATTTCTTTTGTTTTGTATTTTCGACAGTACCTATTATAATTTCTATCGTATTGTAAAAAAAAAAAAAACGAAATTTACGTTTCTTGACCTTTTTAACACGGCAAAATGGCGAGTTGGCCAAAACTTCCCTTGATATGCATTTAATAATAGCTATATTTATAGTGGTAATGAAGTTTTCAGATTAGGCAAGAAGTCCTGTCGTAATGGTTAGTAAATAAGTTATACAATTATAGTTGGTTGGTGTTGTAAGTTATACGTACTTACGATTAATTATTTACTGTTTGTCAAGTTTGCAAAAACAATGCTGAACGTGTCAACAATAATACTATATACCCACTCAGTTCTTTAATCAATTTCGCTATATCCTGGACCTAAAGGTATTGTAATTTCGGGTATGTGTATTAGTGTGTCTAACACATTAATTTTTTTATAATTAAAATTTAATTATATTAGGTAGTTATTTCAACAAATGCTACGGTAGAGTAAAATAATTTAAGAATTAATGAAATAAGTAAATTCAGAAAATTATTAAGAACAATCAAAGCAATTGGAATTTAATTGGATACACTTTGAAACAGGGTGATGAGCCACAGCAAAAAATAAATCGAAGAAAAGAGATGTAGAAGAGCGAGGGTGTGCCCGAACAACGGTCATCAAAAGGTTTTTGATGCCGGACTCATGAGCTAAGTAAACTTGAAGAGCTAACTAGTGTTAACTCAAGTTAACTCCAGTGTCGTTCAAGATAACAAAATATTAATCTGCTGTACAGTAACACAGTCGTTGACTCCTGGTTAATTCTAACGACCCAAAAGATCACAACTATTTTTGTGTTACTTATTCTTCATTCACAAATAACACGAATGGCGTAACATTTATTGCCAAGGTTAACTTTATTTTAAACAGTGTTTTTAACTTGAATAGTTATTGATAATTTGAATACTCTACTGTATTCTGAATTTTTGAAAGTAGTCCTTAAGGTCGAATACCAAAAAAGAAGAAGAAGATACCTACCTATTTGGAAATCGTATAATTTGTTTCGTATTTAGTTATAGGTAATAATATTATTTTCGAATAAAATGCTTATGTTTAATTCATATCGGTGTTTTTTTTTTTTTTTTATCGATACAGTATATTGATTTGAGACTTTTTTTTGGAAATGATACATATTCCGAAATATCTTCTAGAGTGATTGCTTCGTGGATATTTTTTTTTTCATCCTGAACGGTGCAATTTTCTTAAGCATTTCGTGTGTAATAATCTATACACATATGTGTATCGGCAGTATGCGAAGGCGGTTTATTAGACTCGAAGGGATTGGAAAAAAGCGCAGAATAGAATCGTAGGAAAATTCGTAGGTGGGCGTATGTATGTACAGCGACCGCGACGGTGGTGGTGACGGCGTTTGTCCGCAGTCCGTAAAATGTTTAACGACTACTTCACTCTTTTTATTTTCTTCGTTTTGTTCCTCCCCTTTAATACAGTGTTCGGGAATGGGTTTCCGTTGGCTCGGTCCATTATTCATTCTTTCTCCTCGGTGGTGGCTGTGGTGGCCTTAGGGTCCATCGCGTGTTGAGGGGAGGAGGGTCACGGGAATCGCTTATACTGCGGTGGCAGCCGCGAGAGGCTTTGACCGCAACAAAAACGAATTCGGCCGGAGAGATCAACTACACGGTATTATTATAGGTAAAGTACCTATTTGATTCCCACGCGAGATCCCGATTTCTTTTGACGACGTCGAAGTCGAATTTTTATAACGCGTTCGAAGCGTCACGGCGTTCTGAAAGTTTATTTTCAATGCGTTTGTTTGAGTAAACGTCTCAATTTAAAACATTCAGATGATGTTTTAACGTTTCGCCAATGATACTATATTATAAATATTCGCGTCTTGTTTGTACACATTGATCATTATATTAGCGTTCATAAATAATAACGATTTAAAACTGTTCTTCCGAAATAAATAAACCATTCGTTTAAGTACTGCGCGCATTAATATTTATGATGACAAACTTCATAAGTATCCTACCGCCCACCTGTACGAAATGTGATATTAACCGGAAAAGATGCTTAATTATTCAACGTTGAGAGCAAATTGAGTTGACGCTATTCCTGTGTAGGTATTTTGCAATATGTGCCGCGTGTAATTTTTCGTTTCGCCTCGCGAGGGAATCGTTAATTTTTCGGAGCGTGATAAAGTCTTATCTAGAAAATTAATAAATACCAGCTTATAAATTGTGTATTGGTAGTTAAATATTAAATGCGTCGGTTTTATATTCCTTACGGGTGTGCAAATAAGACTACAAACAGATTTCGAAGAGCCGGTTAAATAAATTACTTAAGTCGTTTAATATTTACCATTGTCTATTCGATATTCGTAAAACACTGTGGTTTCAGCCTTGACGAATTGGTGGAGATTTTTGTTCGACCAGATTATATTGAGTCCGATTTCTACACGGTATTTATTTTAATTCGACGGATTCGACTATTATTGGTAACAAATAGACGTTGTTCTTGTGTTAGTCGTAAACTATTATATATCAGTATGATAAGTACGAATAATCAATAATATAAATCAAAAGTATAGAGTTTAAAGCATGCGGGATTTGGTGCTTATTATTATTATATTTTTTTTTTTTAATTGAAATATTGTAAAAACAATCAGCTACAAAGAAAGTGTTTTTGTTTGTACGGTGTGATTAAATAACCAACACAATTCGTTGGACACTGATGTTGAAAATTGGACTTGACTCTATAGGATTCTATAGGACAACTAGGTTGTAGAAACAGACGAAATTTTTTTTGTGTTCATAACTGAAAATACCGTGTTAATAAAGTATGTTTAAAACTCGTTTATAGTATTTACAAAAAACAACACAGTTTATTAAAAATTTATCTAAACGGCGAAAAAATCAAAACAAAAAACGAAAACGAGTAATATTTAAAAGTTTCAAAACCGAGCATATTGTTACCTATATAAATAATTTGAGCATTACACCGAACAATTTGTGAATAGCATAATTTCTTAGAAAAAGCTAGAAATAAAAAAAACTGATACTGGGGATGAATGCAGTCATTGTTATAGGTGGGATGTTGTGAAAGTAGTTATTTAGTTTAAATCTGTGCGCAAAGATAAACCATTGCTAACAAAAAACGATTCGGAACGAAGTTCGGTAAAAATTATTGTAAAATGCCGAAAGTAAAATTCGTATTTACGGTTTTCATCAAAATTTGATGCCTTTCTTAAAACCCTTAAGAAAAAAAAACTTAATTTATATACATTAAATTTAAATTTGTTTTTTAGACCATTAAGTACAACTTATGACGTACCAAGTGTTAAATTTTCAAATATTTTTCTTTAGTCATATAATTTTAACAGCAGATACCTACCAAATAGAAATACATATGAAAACACGAAAATATCAAATACCTATTAATAGCCGAAAAGTAGCTAGAATA